AGTGCAGAAATTCACCTGTGTGCTCCCTCTTACAAATCTATCCTTCTGCTTGGTAATGCGTCGGATTTTATGATAAATCTTACCCAAAAAGACAGCCCAATTGCAGCTGCAGGTCTAAATAGGCTTTCAGAGACGTGTAGAACGTGCCAAAAATACAGCTTAACTAATAGTCTATGTAAAGAGCCATTTCCTGTAACAATACAGGAGATGAATGCTTTTGATGTTACTGGAACTGTTACATTTTGTTGCAGTGTAACAGGTGACAGCAGAGGGGCAGCCTGACAGAATGGTGTCTGATACCGCAGCTTGTATGAAGCAAAGGTGTATCACTGAATTCCAACATGTGGGAAAAAATGGCACCCACTGACATTCACTGATGCTTGCAGAGTGTTTGTGGGGACCAACCAGTGGATGTGAGCACAGTGAGGCGGTGGATGGTGCGTTTCAGCAGCGGTGCTAAGCAGTGTTTTTGCATTCTTTGTATCTGTTGTAGTTTCCATGGAAATATGGAGGAGGCATTACTTTCAGTGCATCCTATGGAAAAGTACTGGTCTCTACTTGGTGGCCTTTTGAACAAATAGTAACAAATCTCCCTTTCCACTCACTGACACACTGACATAATGGCACCTAGCAAGGCTGCACTGCAGTATTTGTGATAATTGCACAACACTATGGGTATTTTGACTGAGAAATCTGGCTTCAAAGTGCAACTTGGAAGCACAATTTAGATTGCGTTTTATATGCATCCCAACGTCTGAAACTAGATCCTTTGACTGACAGTGAATACCAGAAGCCTGGGAGTTAACAGTCAGATTTAGTGTCAAATACAGGCATTGTCAAAGAGTGCTGAACTCCACTGTGAGGAACCACATCTCCAAGCCTTTCCAACATAAAAGTGTCAAGGGACGCCTGTGCTGGAACACAGAAGTGTAGCCACATCCTGTACTAGCAAAAGGATGGGTTAGTAGCAGATACGTGGGGTGAAGAATACTAAAGAATAATAATTTTAAAAAGGTGCATTGGTTGTGCTCTCACTTGAAAATAACGCTTCTAAGAGTGAACCATGAACAGTTATAAAGCAGTCTGTGGCTGTGTCCACCTCTACCTGGATTTCTTGCATATTTCTGGCCAAGATTGCCTCAAAATCTGGAATTTACAGGGCACCCTGCTATGCCAACAGAATCATCAGCAAACTGCTTGGAATATCTTTATCTATTCTTTTTCAGAAGCCCAGGAAACTGCTGAGAAATGATGATTTAAGAAATTGGATTGAGACAGAGAACCATTTTGCCTGTGATCACAGCTGATGAGGACTGTAATTTAAAAAATAATACAGGAAAAAATAAAGTCAGATTTTTTATGGGCTTTTTGCAGAGAAGCAGTGAAAGGAAGTGATAGGAATGAGTATGGAGAAGCTGCATAGCCCGATATGTTAAATCTTTTTTGCTGTTTTTGGATGAACACGATACAGATGTCTAGGAGAGACACTTGGTGTCTGTTCTATACCCACGTAACGAGCATTAAAATATTCACTCCATCTCTATTCACCAAGCACTGCTTCCTCCATTTGAGTTCCCTCGCTTTCTTTCTCACCCAAATGCATCTACAGATAGATAGGTCTTCCCTTCAGTGTAGTACAGTGTTATTCTTTTGTCCCTTAACTAATACAGGCTTGGTTTAGAATGAATAAACACAGGCATGGGGAAATCAAACCAAAATACACAATTTATTCAAAACCAGCAGGCAGGCAACTTCTCAAAAGCCAACAGCTCCATTTTATGCCTATCGAAGATGATTTTTTCATAGATACGGGATTTCTCAATAAAAAGACCACTGGAACACTCAACAGGTGAATGTTCTGCTGGTTGCCCATCAACACTAAGCTGCCTGAAAAGGTATCTCTGTGTCCTCCTTCATTTATGCTTTTTCAAGCTCGCACACAAAAAGTTTATGGAAGAAATTCCCCGCCTTCTGTAACCAGTGATGTAAAGCCCAGGTGTCAGCCTCCACTTACAGAGGCCAGTTGTGTTACCAACCAGGCAGCTCATTATCTCATCTCTTTCAACTATTCTTCCAAAAAATTAATGGCTGTGCCACAGCATCCCCCAAGTCTTTAATACATCTGATACCTAAAGCAGACAGCACCCTGCAGAAATGAAATGGTATCTTTCAAAATTCTAAACAAACGTGTTTAGAAGCTTTGCAAAAGTAAATTTGTGAACGCAACAGAAGACGAGATGCAAGTAAGTTTAAGCATACTTTATTAACTTCAAGCAGCAGCCACTTCCCAACATTCTGCACAGTTACAATCTGACGCATGCTGTAGAAGATTGCTTTATCTCCAGTAGTCTCACAGACTGGTCTGCCTTCTGTGTACAGGTCAATATACATATAAAGGTTCTTCAGAGGTTTATTGCCACTTACCCTATGTATGGAGATAAAGTATTATTAAAAATATTCTACAGGAATCATTATATTCAATCAAAGGCTTTTGAACAGTTCCTATTTTTTTTTTAATTAAAGCAGTATACATCATAGTAATAAAAAGACAATCTAACTGCATATTTAATTTGTTTCAGTGCAAAAAGAAGGAAAAAAAGAGCATTTAATCTTTCAAGGAGTTTGAGTTAAATGAATACAAAGGGCTGCTATCTTGTTTAGTTTGCCAAGCATTCTGAAAAATCATATTAAACATGTGGAGTTCCTTGTCACCACGAGGGAGAAGCAAGCAGAAGCCAGCAGACTTAACTAGACTTTATGTAGGACCTCAGGTGAAGATGAAAATTATATCTTAGTGTATAGGAGGAAAAGATAAATTATCCTCTTAGGTCAGCTGAAAAGTAGTTCAGCAAGAAAACCCTGTTGTCTAACTGCTGTGTTTGTAGCAAGCTGCAACCACTGGAATTCAAATGACTGCTGTGGCCAGCAGCAACCTCTCTGCTATCCTCAGAGGCCACAGGAACAGGTGTTGCCCCAAAATGGAAACGTTTCTTAACTGTGGTCAGGAGGTTTTCACTACTAGAGGCTTTTGAAGCCAGAATTAAAGATTTTCGGTTGCAGCCAATACAAGAGCTGAAGCTGGGAGTGGATGGAAGACTGAAACCCACTTGTTCTGAATAATGCCTGTCAGCTACTCCCTGCAGCAACAGATGTGTTTGGCAGAATGAGTAAATCTGCTGAACTTAAAGAAAAAAAGCGCATCATCTGCTTAAATCTTTACCAGTTAAAAGTGTTCATTTTAACCAAATACAGTGGCAGATTTTTCTGAATGACAGGTCTTGAACTGATCGTTCTATGAAAACTGCATTAAACAGCAATGCCTATCTGCCTGCATTTAATCACAGTAAGAAAAAGATCTTAAACCAAAAATGAAACAAGCATATCAGAATAAAAAAAATTGTAATACAGTTAATATGTCTCAGGAATTATCAATACCGTAGCAGTGTTAATTCTAAATTGGGATGCTGGAAACCAAAAGATTAAGACAGAAATGTATGAAGAGTATTTTTCATATCTTTTATAGGACAGAAACCTTTGTTCATGTCTTCTGGTAGTCATCATCTTCTTTTGAGCTGCACCTACAACACAAAGAACAAGTGAACGAGCAACTTTACGCTTCTCCAGAACAGCTTAAAACAGTTCTGTAGGTATTAAGGTGCATTTTTCCTACTGCTTTGTTTCTGCATCACCAACTCATTTGTTTCACATTCCTATTTTAAGAATAAAGTACAAAGCATCAGCAAGAATAAGCTGCTAATTCCTGTGTAAAACTGCCCTCAGAAGCTCTGCCTATGTTGTGAAAGTGCAGGTTACTTTCTGCAGTTAACAAGCAGACAACTACTGCTTCGTTAAATGGGAAAGCTGAATTTACTTCTGCTACAAACAAGATACCTTAACATGTGGAAATAAGGACGGATTATTTCTTATCAAGAATTTTATAGCTGAGGAGAGACAGGTGGAAGGTTCCAAATAGCTTACAAAACGACCCATCTCGTGCCTGTTTTTGTAGTTAGGCCATTACATCTCCTCGGTGGGGTATTCCCCACCAGCAGAATGACTGCTTTGCCTCATTTTTCCATTCCTGCGTGCACTTCGCGGAGTGCATGACTGTTGTCATTTACGGACCTAGATGGATACAAAAACCCTTCTTAGTTCAAATAAGTGTTATAAAATAAGTGAAACCAGTGGGTTTATCACAGGTTTTCAGAATATATTGATCCAAAATGTAAAGAGGAACCTCTTAATAAGAGTAGTTTAGAACAGCAGTAAGGATCTGAAAAGTCTGATTCTGTTTTTCTCTTGTTGTATAACCAATTCAAATGTTTCAAGCTGTTTTTAACTTGTTGCTAAATGTTTATCTACACATGCTGTCAGAAATAACCTTGTTAGGAAGGTGAAGTTGGTGTCTCAGCAAATCAGACCCCATGGAGTAGGCGTTGAGTGGCCTGTGACTCGCTTTCCTTTTTCTCTTTCAGCACCATCAAAAGGAAAAGTGAGAAAAACAGCACAAACATTAGTTAAAGCCTGAATTTAATCTCACGTCCTACAGGAATAATTTCATTACAATGAAAGCAGACAGTATCTGTAGGGTTTTTGGCTTTCTTTTCGTTTAAGCAGTGATAATTATATATCTAATTAATATAGCCTATAGCTCTTCCAAAGATCATAGCTTTTAACAATCCTTTTAATTAAATGATTAATAGAAAAGGCAGGGGTGGTTCTTTACAAATTACCTGATTTACCATCACTGAAGACAGATTCTTTTAAAAATGGCTACAAATGCCTTGTTCACAAAAGACTTTATTATCTAATGATGCATACTGAAAACATACAGAAATCTGCATGGTCCACTTTACATGCAGCAGAACAATCTTCACTTTACAATAAGTAAGTGTCAACTGTTTTATGCAAGGAGACAACACTTTAAAGTCACATTGTTTTTTTTTTTTTTAAAGAAAAGCTTCATTTACAAAAGAAATAAAAGGTAAAGAAGCAATTACCGCTTTTAAAAAGCAGCTGCTTTGTTCAAGAGTGGAAGGTTTATGCCTGTATTGAAAGACAACATGATCACAAATAATGAAAACAATGAAAACAAATGAAACACTTTTAGCATAAAGCAGTACACTTTCAAAATGACATACAAATAGTTAAAAAGTTTCCTTATGTTGTCTATCTATCCTTTAGATATAAGTTCTTTCAAATGAGATCCCAACGTATGTAATTACTAAATGAAAACTCTTCCGTAAGTATTGGCTCTATGTCATAGTGAACTGTATTTAACAAAATGTATACAAAGTCTATAGCAAGTTGATTAAAAAAATTAAAGTAATAAGAAACAGTACACTGAAGGCGCTCTATCCATCAAGTGCGCGCTCTCAAAATTGTAAATGTGATGAACAGAACGGAAGTTGTAACTATGCCACAGTTGCAATGCCAGAAAATAAAAACAAGATCATTTATCAAACATGCAGGGAATTCTGCCACAATGCTACTGTCTCTCATTTGTCAGTTGTTCCAGTAAAATAACAGCTTAAACACCGGTGATGTTGATGGGTTAGCTTACCTTCAGTGTACTGAAAGTTGTACACAACCTGCTTTAAAAGAGGAGACCATCCCTGCAGGCAGGCTCAAGAAGGAACAGACCCCCTTCGGCACTGACTACACCAAGGGCATGCTGCTGTGGCCTGCACACACACACCTAGGAAAATGTGAATATAAACAGCATTTATGCTGGCCATTTTTTAAAGACAAAAATGAAGCCAAGTCTGCTAAAAACAAATCAACCACCCAGTATTACTGCTCTTTTTTTTTTAAACAGATGCTTTTTTTCTTTTTTATAATATATACGAACTGCAACCATATACATTAGCATTGTACTTCTGTGCAGTCTTGGCAATTAAAACAGTTCTACAGTGAAAATTTTCACATAAGACACAAAACAGAATTACTCTAACATTTCTAAAAGAAATATCAGCCTTGACGTTAATTCAAATGTATCTTTTCTTCCTCAACTTTGCAGGGCAAATATTTATGTTTATATACATTAATAACTGCTGTGAAATTTCTTCAGTCTTTGTATCTTAATTACTCAAACCCTTTGAACTTCTTCATCTGGTTTAAATTTTTTCCTGGATGAAGGCGTGCTGCAGAGCCTGGTTGATGCTAATCCGTTTAGCTGGATCTAACATTAGGATCTGGTCCAACAAGTCCTTCAGCTGGTGTACTTTTTTACGCTGGTCTTCTGGGAGTCGCTGGCACCCAATCAAGTCTGCTAACAGGTCCTTAGTTGGATTAATGGTGCTCATTACAGTAACTTTCTCCTACAAACACAAAAATGGCAACCTTGTACAACAGTGGAAATACACAAAACCGCCGTAATTCTTACACCACTTAAGCAGCAATTTTTTTGCAGGGTTTTCTTATCTCTCATCAGCAATGCTCTTCTTCATCACATGGCCTCATAAAAACTCATGGCAGGCAAAGGAAAAGAGCGAATATAAAACACTGGGGCAGGCCGGACTGCGTCCTTTGCCAGCAGCTAATTGTATCTGATGTTCCAGTCCAGGCCAACTGCCTTTTTTCCTGGTACTGGGCACGACTGAAGAGACTGGCTTCATTTTCACTGCACCCTCTATTCAGGTATTTATATGTATTAATAAGATTCCTCGCCCCTGCCTTCCTGTCTTCCAGGCATAATAGTTGTTATTCTCTCAGCCTTTCCTCACAGGAGAGACACTTTAGTCCTCTGATCATCTGGGCCCTATGCAGAGCTCTTTCTAGTATGTACAAGTTTCTCTTGTACAGAGGAGCCCAGGACTGGATGCAGTACTTCAGGTGTAGCCTCGCCAATTCTGAGAAGAGAAAGATCAGGTGATCCTTCTTGACCTGCTGGCAAAAACTTTGCCTAATGCAGCCGAGAATAACACTAACCTTCTTAATGGCAAGGGCACACTGCTGGCTTATATACAACTTGGTGCCTATTAAGACCCCAGGCCCCTTCCTGCAGAGCTGTTTTCTGGCTGGGTGTACTGGTGCCCAGGGCTGCTCCTTCCCTAGTACAGGACTTCATACTGCCCCTGCTGAACATCATGAGATTCAGGCCAGCCCACACCTCCAACCTGCTGAGGTCCCTCTGAATGGCTGTGTGGCCCTCTGGTGAATTAGTCACCCCCACCAGTGCTGTGTCACTGTGCATTTACTCAAGTTGCAGTCTACCCCACCATCCAGTCCATAACCATGTAACCTGCGTACGCCTCTGCTAAAGGACATTCTGATAGTTTACAAAGTTTTGTTTGTAATTAAAATGTTAAGGTATGTTTGAAAGACCAGTAACAACAGACACGTGAAGGACTTACCCTTTCTGTCACTTTATCTACTTCTATATACATAAAGTTGAGATTTTGATCAAAGTGCTGATCTTTGAACACACCTTTTCGAATCATCTGGAAAATCAGGGAAAGACAAGAATTTTAGCTAAGCTCTCTGTGTTAATGAATTTCACAATTAGCATCAACATCTATTAACTGGGATTAGCATCTACTAACTGGGAAAACATGAATAACTTACTATTTCTGAATTACTTATCAAATAACTATGCTGAATAAAAAAATAACATTCAAACCAGTTGAAGAAGGACATAATACCTTCCACTGACTTACACTGTTTTTTTTCAGGTCTGTGCCTTAGAAGGTTTCTGCTTTCACTTTACACTTAGTCTACGAAAAAGAAGCTGTATACTTTCACTTCATATAATTTTAAATTAATATAAATTATACATTCAGAGGATATCTGATATATACTTGCTGTTAAGAGATGTATCTGATAAAGAATTTCAGGGAGAAAACAAAGTATGTTTTACTGTTCATAACAGCAGTTTCAGATATCAAGTAAAAATCAAGTACTTATTTTTCTTACCTTGTTTGGCATCTTTCCTTTGAGATCCATGGCTAGTTTCAACATATGGTTATTGGTTTTGCCAGGAAAGAGTATTTTTCCTGTATAAAGTTCATATAACGTGCAGCCTACAGACCACATATCTATACCATAGTCATAGATTTTTCCTATAACTGAAACAGAGCAAGTCAAGTTAATTCCATAAAGGCAGCTTTGAAGATAATACCACAAAACCAGACAAATAAAAAAAGTCTGATTTAGAAACTCTATCGGTGCTTCTCCTCTTAGGAATAAGAAGGTGAACAACTGAAAGACTTTTAACATTTACAGTATCCCAATTACAGAAAGGGAGGTTTTTACGTAACGCCCAAACTGATCACCACAGCTTCATTTAGACAAAGTCATAACAGTACCCCTGCGTCAAAACAAAGCTATACCAATCAGAGTGACTGCATGTTCTCACTGAGCTGACCACCAGCACGCATGAAGAATCATAAAACATGCTTTCAATTGGCTGAATTTTTTGACTGCCATCGTATTTTCAGAGTGATGGTTTGCTGAGATCAAACAAAGAGTAATCTCAAATCAAACTTTCATTTGCCTTACTGATACAACCTGCTTAGTTGTACTCAATCCAAATGCACTTACTGATTTCAGGAGCTCGGTAAAATCTACTGACTAGATACGGCGTGATGTCGTTATCTGCAACATGTGAAGCTGATCCAAAGTCACAAAGCTTTAATATCGTTTTAGATTCATTCACCTGAAAGTTAAACATAAGTGAATATTAGCATTGTCTGTACACAGAATTGGCAACAGCACTTAAGACTAACACTGGAAGAAAAACATTTAGCCTTGAAATTACAGTTTCTTCCCATGTTTCAGTCTGTCTTCTCTGCATTCTAAGAAAATTGTCAAACCTTCAACTGAAAGTTAATACCTGCACATCTAAGAAATACAAAGAAGTCAGTTTCGTGTATTTATTCTCCGACAGATTTTACTAGGCTTTTTTTTTCTCACTATTAATTCTTTATTGCTGCAGCAGCAGTGAATATTTTAGAAGTAGGGGGAAAAAAAATAAACTCTCAGCATAACTTAGCAACTTCCATCAGTAGAAGTGTTAAAAGCTAAACAGAAAATACGCCCAGAATTAGCTTTCAAATTAGCTTTCTTTGTCTGCACAGACACTAATAGTGACATCTCCCATTGCTTTGGAGATTTGTGGCAAGACACTAACTGAAAGGCACAGAAAGGATTACATATGCATTAATATACATTAGCATCTATTTAGAAAATAACACAAACAACAATATGATCCCACACACATACATCAAAGTATTTTCTAAATGGGTAGTAAATACAGCACATAATTTGACACAGTGTCCATATAACTCTTCCAAGGCAATAGGGCATCAGCTTTGCTTTGCCTCATGTGACTTGGTACCAGAACTAGCTGGAAAGCTAATCCCTCAAGCAGCCACTAAACACTACCTACCCCTAAATAAGTCAAGTTAGAAACTTGTATAGAGAGAATAGAGAATACCCAGCTCAAGATCAGTCCAGAATGTGAACAAAGACATGTCAAACATCAGTAAGGAACATGTGAGTCACTTCTGTGTTGTGATCTGAGGCCAAACATGTCAGGTGAAGAGCAGCCCTAAGAACAGAACTACTGCATTCAGCTTCATAAACTAGATAGTTACTTAACATGAACCAACAGCCTTATTACCAACATGAACGCAGGTCTGCCTGGTGTCAAATTTAGTTTTGAGAAGGAAATATAAGCCTCCCTGTCAGATTCCTAATTTATAAGCCATAAGAAAGAAACTTTAGTACACCCTAATATAAACAACTGCAAGAAAGTGAAAGTATGCTGCACTTTGGAACAGAATGCAGAAATTTCTAAGAGATGAATGGAACTCTGCATAAATTGAACATGTAGCAGTAAGAAACTTATTTTTAAATGTAAAATATCTAGACCAACATGTATGTAATATGTAGTACTATTTTCAGTAAATCCTGGATATGTTAAAGATTTCCCATTGTGAAAACAAATCCATTCACATTCCTTCCTGCCTCATCATCAGTTTCCAGAATCTACTTGGTAAATGCTACCACTACATATTAGTTATTAAATCTGTTAGTTTATTTCTGTTGGTGAACTAAAAAAAAAAGAACCACCTGGAATTCACTACAGTGATTCAGTAGGAGAACTGGAGGCCACCAGTAATATGCAGTGTTCACAATCTCTTGGAAATATGGAAAAATATCCTTGCTGGACCTGGATTTCATTCTAGATAACTAAATTTTATCAGTTTAGACTTCCACCTCTACTATCCAGAGTGCCACTCATAAACTAGAATACTATTCACATATCTCATGTTCAGCTAGTAAATTTTACAACAGTGATGGCAAGAAATCATAGAATGGCCTGGGTTGAAAAGGACCACAATGCTCATCTAGTTTCAACCCCCCTGCTGTGTGCAGGGTCACCAACCACCAGACCAGGCTGCCCAGAGCCACAAAATGGTCATTTTTAAATCTAAGATTTTGTCCATAAAAACCGAAGTCAAACCATTTGATTCCTTTGATGTAGCTCTCACACTCTGCTAAGCAGAATGTTTCATGGGGAAAACAGGACAGTAAGGACTTCTTCAGTCATCTTATTCAAATGAACACAATCTCCTCCCAGGCTTAACCAAACTATTTTCATTTTTTCGTTCTGTAGAAACAAGAACATTTTTCAGGTACTGGTGAAAAAAGTCCTAAGACTTCTCCTAATAAAGAATACTGTCCTTGGAAGACCTACTTTCTAAAATGGTACAAGTGGATGCAGGTTTGTGTAAATGAAGTATTTCATTTACATGCTGTATTACACTTCTTTATTTATACCAGTATAGCTTTTTTTCCCCAAAAAACATTAATTTTTTAACATTTGGAGGTAAAGTGAACTTTGACTTAATTTCACACAGAATGTCCATACAAAATATTTTTCAATTAGTTATTACTTACCAAAATATTATCTGGTTTAATATCTGCATGTAGGATATTGCATCTTTTAAGAAGTTTTAAAGCCAGGAACAACTGCTGGCTGTAGGAACGCACAGCTTTAATATGGAGACCAACATCTTTCCCATACTTTTTCAACACCTCTCGTAAGTTCATACTATTGTAAGAAAGAGAGAAAACAAAAGAGCTCTGTGAGGGGAAATATACTTGTCTTCTCAACTGTAAGAAAAACATGAATAAGTTTGTTCACTTCAGAAATTCTGGAGGAAAAGTGACATTCAACTCAAGATACAAACCTCACTATTTGTAAAGCAACGAAACAAAAATGCTGGTTGATCAGATCTGCACTATACCATATACTTACTAGACTGGACATAAACTTCAGAACATATTTTTAATCCGGATTAATTGGAGAGAATTGATTTGCACATGAACAGCATTTTCTGAACAGCTGTGCTCAGTGCTCAGTTTCTTGAGAAGCGATTAAAAAGAAAATATGCAAAACTGATGAGGCAATGCTTCAATGACTTGAACAGCAGATGAAAAGACAAATCCACAACAAAACCATGACTGGATGTAAACAGTGCACAAATGCGTTATGAAGAGACAGCACAAAGAAGCTCTATTGTCAGTAATAACCTTTATGACAAATATTAGGCACTGCATAAAACTTGCACTGCTTCAGCAAATGATTTATCTTCAACTCAAACTTCTATGGCAAAAATTAAAATATACAGGGAAAATTTAGGATACAAGCAATTGATGCAAACAACATCTAAGCAGGAATAGGAATTAAGGCAGCCAAAGCGTCTAGATCCACGATAAAGCTGTCTACAATTAGCCTGCCAAAAAATCCTCATTATTTAAAGGCAAGTTTACAGAGCACTGTAATCATCTTCTGTAGGTTGTTGCTATATATCTGTTTGTCACAGAATATACAGTATTTGCTCAACCTCCCTGATTACACATTCTTAATCCACACCACAAGGTAAAGAATTATGTAAATCTAGGAAGAATATTTTCACTAACAAAAGTCATTAAGAGGAGCATTAGTGAGATGAGTAATTTATAAATAATTTAATGTCATTAAATTAATAATTTATTAATAATAAATTACATCATTTCAAATATTGACCAGGGATGGAATTTACAACACAACTGACTATGAAAAATCTAACTAGATCAGCAGGTTTTGGATTTCTCTAGATTTTTTTTTTTTTTTTTTAGAATTGCTTAAATTCTTCAATCTTGGCAATGGAACAAAGTACCAAACTTAAAACAATAGTCAAGAACAGAAAGATGAAGATTACTTAGTTGACTTAGTTGTACTTTACTTTTCACAAAGGACACCATACACCTGTCATCTTACCTCAGTGGTTCGAATACCAGACAGAGATGTTGTTTGTGGTAGAAATGCCTGAACAATCTCAGACAGTGAAACTTGTCATCGGGATCTGCATCATTGAGCTTCTTCAAAAATTCCAGTTCTTTTAGACCAGTTTTTTGCCTGCAAACAAAGAAATACAATTAGAAAAGAAAACAAGTGAGATTCCAGTGCCTTGTTTAAACCTTGAGATTTACCTCCACAGTTTTAGTTGTTTTAATAGTATTAATAGTTTTAATAGTACTACATGATGTAGCACTGCTTAAAAAAACCCACAGCAGTGGTTCACTCTTGTTATGAGTCTTTGATCACCTCTGATTTTGTAACCTACTTATTCTTCTCCCTCCTGTTTGTTTTGAAGTTACTTCACTTACACTATTTTAAAAATTTTAAACTAAACTGACTGACAGTCAAGAACACACCCAAACCAAATCATCTTAACACACCAAGCTAGCTTACTACCTTTTTTTTTCCCCTAAATATTTCTAGGTACTATTCATATAGCTCAAAATGACTCAGTTACACACAAACCAAAACAAGTTATCTGTAATGGATAAGTACATAACGCATGGCTGTGGCTGTTATGGCAGCAGATGCTGAAAATGAGTACTGGAGATTCTGAGTCGTCACATAACATAGCACAGTTTAATACAACATCAACCTAGTTAAGGGTCATTCAGACTGGAAGGCCTCCAGTGATTTTCTTTCCAATAGGCAGAGCACCATCACTTTCTCGTATCTTCTACACACGCGCACACATGGAGAATATGCAAAAATAATTAAATATCTTTGTCTAAGTTAGAGATGATTGACTAGTATCCAACCCACGGCTTCCCAAATGGATTTGGTTCATCAAGCCAGAATTTTACAGTCCTCAATTCCCATCTCAAAAATCTTAGGGCTGGGCAGACATAATCAGTGTTAAGCTTATTTCTTGCCACGACTGTTCCCTGCAGTTTTGCAAATGAGAAAGTGCCTGATGAAAATGCAAGTACCCTTCTCCTGTGAGTGCGGATACATAGTCCTCAAGCGCTTCCAATTACGTGGCTCATATTAGCAGAAAAGGCAGGAACCACAGCTGTAATCTGTTACTTCACTTGAAACAAAGGAAGATTCAAATCACATCATGAAAAACTTACAAAAGTCTCACATGCTTTACTATAGTATTACTAAACAAAAACATTACTTACATAAGTTCATTGTTCCTGATGATTTTAACCGCTACTTCTTGGTTTGCTCTCGCCATATCCCTGGCTCGTACTACATTACTGAAGACTCCCTGACCAGTGTAACCGTAGACATTGTAACGTTTATCTAGAACTTCACCTATATTAACGCCTGAAGAACAAAAATCAAGCAATTCAAGTAAGAGTTATGCATTGTACGCACAATGAAACGTTTTATGAAAAATAAATGGTTCTAAATCATATCAACAGTATAATCACTTAATTTCATAGCATACTAGCACCAATCTTTGTGGAAATTATGGGGAACATCAACAATTCTAAATGTGGAATTCTTCCCTTCTTGAGGTTAAAACCTGCATGCTCATTTCATCCATTACAGGTGTATTTCTTTTGGCCCTTACACCTGCAAATGAGCTTTTAACACTGACCAGTAAGGAAAACATGTTCACTCACTATCTCCATTCTGAATTCTAGATAACAGCTACCACAAGGGCCACTATATTATCTTGGATGCTAGATTTCTTGGTTTCAGATCCTGGCAAGCATTCCTTCATTCCTCCCTTCCTTTGTGAGAGTGATCTCACGGCTCTAACTGTGGCCAGGTTTTAGTTTTACCCTAACCAAAATTTTATATCTAGGAGCAACTTCTTGCACAAGTGAGCAAGAACAGAAAACTGCTTTGGGCACGCCATATGCAGCATGGCACTCACAGCAGAATATTCACATGACAGCATTTCAGTACTTTCACTTTTTTCAGTTCTTTTCCATTTAGCACCCTCCTTCTTGCTATAGTTGCAACCCAGTAAATGAAACTTACGATAATAGCCTTCTGCATCAGTCCAGTTATCCCTGAGATTGGGGTTTTCTTTGAAGTCTTTTCCAAATCCAGCAGCCCTTAGACGAGCACTCTGAAACAGAAAGAACAAACGGAACAGCTTTGCCTGTGTGCTCTAGCTGTGTGTTTTCTTTAATGTTTACTTATAAAAATCAGAAGTCCACATTACTGGGCACTTTTTTTCCTACTGAAACAATGCTCTTCTCCACACTACAAACACATTTATCTTGTAGGAGAAAAATACTACTGAACACAGAATGCTACTTAAATACCAGCACTTGAAGACTGCTGTAAGGAAATAGAATAGGGACAACGACAGAAATATTCTTAAATGTGACAAATGAGACACGTTTCAACTATTACCTGCAATGAATTTCCACAAGTCAAATTAGAATACACAGTTTGGACCATATTAAGACTTACTACTTACAGTATATTTGTAGTAATAAAGTTTAGCAATCTGGGGGGTAAATGTAACTGTTTAAGCCTCAAATTTCTTTCTGTTCATTCAGTGTCACCTCACAAAATCCATACTGTTACACTTAGAATCACAGTTGCTGCTGACACTGCTTAACTGAATTGACAGTATTATCTCAAATACAAATTCATGGGTAGTAAAAAATATCTGACCGAACATCAGTTTTTGCAGAGCAGAAAGTGACTACATACAAACTGTTTAAATCCCTACTTGTTATCCTGAAGCTTTTAAAAGCACCTAAACCACCACTATTCCTGAACTATTTATCTTTCTCCTTTGGTGTGTGCACGTGTGTGTTGGCTTTATTACAGTGACACCTCCTGTCAACAATCTTCTGTGAAAACTAATAGATTTCATCTGCCATAAAGCATGGTTAACTGCAGAATTTCCATCTTAAGAAGGAACTTGTTGCCTTGACTTTCTCAGTGACTCGTACCAGTAGCAACAAGTATTTAAGGAACTGCCAAGATTAGTAAGCTCCTTCAGCACATTTTGAAAAAGCTGCTGAAACAGTGCAAGAAGTAGAAATGGGAAATGATTCTCTTCATCCAAAAAGCCTCCACATCATTACAACACATCATGAGCAAATTAAAATACATTACACAGACTTTTAAATTAACCTTGCATGAACCTCTGAAGAAGGCACACATCTCTGAAGAAAGAACAGAGCAACACAGCAGCTTTAACGTAAAAAGTTAATATAAAGTTTGTCACTGTGTGCCACGACAGCTCTCATTTGAACAGTGGGTGAAGTACTTAATTCTTTGTTTACTCTGGCCAAAATCCTACTTGTTGCAGGTTTTCTTTCACTGAAATATTAAAAGCTACTTTGTCTGCTTCAACTGATCAAAATATTAAAATTATCAACTCAGTTACCTTGCTTTTACTAATCAATGTTCCCACAAACCTCAAGTGACAGCAACCCTTCAATAAAAAAATAAGCAAAAAAAGAATCATTCATTTCATCTCCAAGAATTACCTACATCAAAGTATGCAGCAAACATATCATCTGATTCTGTGAACATATCAGGAGCCAGCAGTTTCTTCTGAGCTGAACCTTGAAAGGAAATTCACATTATTCAAAGTGAGGAAGATGGCAAGCAGACAATTAGCAATGCAGTCTGTGACTTTATATTGGTACAACACAACCTCAAAATCAACATGGTGGCAAACTAAAGATTTGCAAGGAAAGTTAGAGCTAATTTACATTATCCATATACAAAAATGAGATGGTTAAGTTCTTAAAAAATTGTACCTCTTTGAAAAATTAAGTATAGCAGCTTCCAAGCAATCCACAAACCAGGAATATGAGGTTGGTACTTTATATGATCCTTACAAGTGACTGCACAAAAATATACATTTATACGTATTACAAGATGCAGACGTGATTTCAATATACAAGTGTGGGGTTTTCTGATAATCACCGAGTATTTTACTAAAAACCAAAGTTGTACACAGCCCAGAAACTGTTTCTTTGGAAAATGTTTTCTTCAGCTCCATCAGAAAGGATCTCATGTAGCTTACAGTGAAAGATGAAGCTAATCATGTTTAAAAGACAAACAACCTTAATGTGGAGATGATTATCCCTCTGTCACCTTTCAATCTTTAAAGTCTGAAAGACATCTTACTTGGTTGACAAGATAAAAGCAACGAAACGTAAATTAAGTTTACATTGGTGAATGCAAACAAACTTCAAACTATTCCGTAACACACAGTATGGTAGTAGCATTCCTTCATTACCATGGTCAGACACAGGTACTGTTAAGGGTATTAAGCAAAGGAGAGAAATAAACAGTTAACCTTAGAATTCTCCAGTCTCCTGAGGGAACCACTTTCAAACAAAACATCAATCTTCTGAAAGCATCAAAAACCCATCCATCATACTGACACTGTTGTTTCAAGGTACAGACCCTCCTAGCAGCTGCCTTGATTTTTCCTTTTAATTTCAATTACTCACATTTTAACTGGGCTACAGTGATTACTAATGATTGCATTAGTGACTTACTATTGTGCCTTTGTAGAAGGTCAAGTTATATATTGCTCTGACAAAACAAACAGATGATCCTGTTTCCTCCTGTTGTTACAGTCACCTCCAATCCAGACACCTACCAATAAACTGAAGCTCCTGCACTGCATTGGTGCAACTGATCTTTTTTTTTTTGCTTTAAAATCCTCTCTAATGTCATTAAAAAGCCCATGTAGTTAACAGTTTTATTTCCATTATCTTTTAGTGGACAAAATTAGAAAGCAAAAAATATATTAGTGTTTTATATAAAAAGGACTGTTCCACCTTGTGCTATGCTAACAGAGAAAAGGTACACAAGAGTGTTCTTTTCACCTTCATAACAACAGAATAATCTCAAAATGCAATCTGCACAAGGGAACACCAGGACTAACTGCTCTGTACCAGTCCCAGAGATGTGCAGCTTTACTATTTCAAGGAAGGATCCACTAGAACATAGCCAAGGATATATCTAGTAGATGATACGAAATACAAGCTGTCCAGCTATCTCCTGAAGGGCTGGTCAGGTTGAACAGCCAGTTCAAGTATGTCTGCATGGCAACTGGAGACACACCTTTGGCTGGCTGGAAGACTTAGGGTATACCAGCCTCAAAAGAGGGTCCAAAAAAAAAATATTCCAAACAAACCAACAAGATCTACGGTCTGTGTTCCTTTTGCCACAGTGGGACCATGGCAGGCAGGAAGAGGAGGGCAATAGTATTCCTTCAGCAAGAAGTTACACATGGGCAAGCTAGCAATGACTCTCAAAAGCCCCATCATTCTAAACAACTTCAGATACACATGTATTCTTCAAACAGTTGCTCTAACCAATAAATGAATGAACGAAGTCATGGTTTGCAACTCATTCCAAAATGAAGAGAAATAAATCAAACTTCTAAGAAAAAAGTATGCATAAGTGAAAACTTTTCATTTAAAAAGAAGTGGTTCTTAATTATCAAATCAGACATCACTATCTGCTCTTCCATATTTATGGAATGAACTGTATTAAGAGTTACTAGAAATATGGAGAACACTTTGTTCACGTCAACCTCCTTCACAAACAAGCTTTATTATTTTAATACTATGTTTGAAATATCTTAATGTTCAAGGAAATACTGCAGACTCTGTCCAAAAAGTCAATATGCTCCCAAGTCTAGAGGTATACAAAGAAACAAAGGAATACATCTATTTTGCACTGTTTTAACACACTGCATTTAAGTGAGGTTTCAGATTCTTACCGTTGTTCTGTTCCACTGTCATGAGGTTGTGTTTGGCTTTTACTGATGCCTCAAAGGTGTCCACGTTTTCCCGTTCATACTCCTTCACATCAGCAGCGACCCTTTCCAGGATGTCATCCGGTGAATTTGAGCGACTGCGCGTACTGCTCTGAGGACTGCTTGGTTCAGATGGCACAGATATATTACTGTCTTCTGTCTGGCCCTTGTATTTCTAAACAGAAACACAATTATTAACCTCAGCATTACAGTTTATCACAGTTTAATTATTTTTATTTTCATCCCTAATGGCTTGTGCTGAACATTAAATCTTTGCCTTCATAATCACCTACATCTCTAATGGCAAATTCTACAAATACGTAGAATTGGCATCATAGAATCACAGAATGGACTGGGTTTGGGCTGGAAGGGACCTTTAAGATCACTTCATTCCAACCCCCTGCTATAGGCAAGGACAGCTCTCTCTAGACCAGGTTGCTCAAAGCCTGGCCTCGAATGCTTCCAGGGAGGGGACATCCACAACCTCACTGGGCAACCTGTTCCAGTGTCTCACCACCCTGACAGTAAAGAATTTCTTCCTCATATCTAGTTTAAATCTACCCTCTTCCAGTTCAAAGTTTCTTTTCATCCTGTCACTACATGCCTTTATAATAAGTCCCTCTCCAGCTTTCCAGTAGGCCCTTTCAGGTACTGGAAGGCTCCTATGAGGTCTCCTCAGGGCCTTCTCCAGGCTGAAGAGCCTCAGCTCTCTCAGCCTGTCCTTGTAGGGGAGGTGCTCCAGCACTCTAGTCTTCATGGCCCTCCTCTGAACCCGCTCTAACAGCTCCATGTCCTGCTTGTGTTGGGGGCCCCAGAACTGGATGTAGGTTATGAAAACTCATTCTACTACAGCTCAATAAAACTGAAAAAGTGCATGACATTTCAGGCACCTCTGTATTTCTGTATTTCCTTCCTTGTGCCTGCCATAATGTTAGTACTGACAGGTTCATTATGACAACAGTTTGGAAAACAAGGAGTAACATAAAGTCCTTAAAAAATAATTCAGTCATTGTTCTGAAGGATTTTATCATTAAATTTATATAAAAATCAAAAGATGACCATTATTTTTAGTGCTGCTTAAATTAAGTACTACATTATAACCAGTGTTTTTATAATTAAGCATTAAGTAAAAACGTCACAGAATTTTGCCTGCTGCGTTCTGTGTGCCAAATCCCGCCTTTAAAAGAAAAGCCCACTTGTCCTTTACAATTACATCCCCTCGGCCTGGACTCTTTTTCATTGGACTCAGTTACACATTACTCATCACCACTGCCACCTGCTTACCAGAAGCAAAACCTTCATGGCAGCAAAAGCATACGTCTGACTGAATCGACTTTCATGAAGGGGAAAGCAATTCAGTAGCTCTACTAAGTTTTGGAAAGGGACAAGTGCTATTTGAAACGAACTAACCACTTTGATTAACTGATATCTAAGTGTTAAACTGATATTATAATATCAACAATGCAGCTCTGAGGAAAACCTATAGGTGAGAATAAATGAGAATATTTTTAACATGTCACATCATAGGACGGCCAGTCAGTGTTTGATTGTGACACAAAAATGACTGATGGGAGAGTTGCTTCAGTCTTAGAAGTAATGCTGCTGCAGTAGGAGTGTCAAGGCTCTGACCAAGACTAATCTTTAGAATAATTTAATTGGAAAAAAGTAGTAATAGCGAATACTATTGTAATAGGGTAATACCCTTCTCCTTTATCACACTTTACACTAAAAACATGGAATTTATTTCCATAACCCCTGTGATAATACAGCCATTACCTGCACGATTGCTTGCCGCTGTAACCTTCGCTGTCTTATTTCTGCTTCTTCATCCTCTTCTTCCAAATCAAAATCTTCAAGACTATAAAAATACAATTACTTTTTATGTAGCATCATAAACATAATATTACATCCTGAATCCTACTAAATGCTGTTTTTTGGTGCAGAAAGCACACAATAGAATATCAAACCAAAATTGTTAACCTGACTCAGAAAGCAAAACTTATTAAAACCCAGTGTGTACATTCATGTTTCTTTACTGATAAAATGTGTCCACAGATAGCTTGAGATGAAGCATTTCATTCCCAACTGCAGACTTGACTGTTATGAATGCATTATCTCATGCTGTCAGATTAGATATTTAGCAAATACAGAGAATAGGATCTTAACTGCTAGTAGCAGTTAATCCTTTCTGGTTTTCAAGCAATACCCTAAGATACACACCAGACCAAATTATTTTCAAAAGACATTTATCAAGTCAAAATTAGAAACCAAACCATGCATGAGCCCCTAAAGGTCTCCCCACCAAACAACAGATCTCAATCATCCCAATAGCAATTGGACAAGATTAAAAGTAATATAACATGATTAAGGTTGTAGATGACAGCCCAAAAACTACAGCATGAAGTTCTGGTTGGTTCCCCCCATTACTGGATCTGCATTTCAAGACAGTAAATTAGACCTTAAGACTTACTTTTCATCGGATGAAGACTCCTGTTCAGCTTTCATGCCCTCAGAAAGACTGCCTTTAAATTTGTCTTCTTTAACTTTGCTCCTACTCCTACGTCTGTGGCCACCACGTGACCTGGACCTCCTTCGAAGGCGAGACCTACTTCTTCGGCCTCTATCCCTGGTAACAGGAAGGGGGATTTTTTGTTTGTTTTGTTTTGCTTTTTATTGTCTTGTTTTTAAAAGAAAAAGAGGAAAACCTACTCATAAAACAAAGACACACAGCAACTCCAAGTAATACAACAACTGAATTTATGGAGGACAAGATTAATTCAACTATTCCAACTTATAGATAAGCAGGGACTGAAAAACGCATTATCTCTTTACACATAAGATACCTTGTGACTGTCTTTGTATCCTGTAAAACAAAGGAACAAACCCACGTGGTGTCCTTACCTCCTCCGAGGGGACCTACTCCTCCTTCGTGGAGACCGGCTGCGTCGAAGGGGTGAGCGAGACCTCCTCCGAATGGGTGAGCGGGACCTTCTTCGGGATGGAGACCACCTGCTGGGCGGGCTGATATCTTTTGATCTTTCACGTCTAGACAAAATATCATCTCTGGTTCGCGTTCTTAAAATGAAGAAAGAACCACAGTAAAATAAGGAGCGAGCTGAAAACAAATCCTCCAATTCCTTCTAAAATCTCACTTTTAAGTATCTTCCTGCAGGCGAGGATCCATCAGATGGATTTCTGAGTGCAGAAATGGGTATGCGTGCTGCAGAGCTGGCTGCCCTCCATGTACTCGTCTCCCCAACCTGGGAAATATGTGCCCACACACAGGTCTAGCTCAGGACAACTCTGGAAGCACAGCTAGTTAATCACTACGATAAAGCTAAGAAATTTCTAAAACAAAGCTTGCATTTATGTCTTACATAAATAGCAGCCTGTTTTCATGTTGATCAGAAGTAATATTCAATAAATAAAACCTAAAACCAAATTCTTGAATTTTTCTCAGCAATTCTACAACATGGAGTTTAAATTTAGGACAAACTATTCCATGACAACTTCCATGTGTTTTCCAATCTGGCTTCTAGAAGTGAACAGCTTCTGCATTCCACATAGTGCAGTAGTGCAGCTAAAAGCAATTCTCAATTAACACTTCTCAAATTAAAATAACTATACACACACACACATCATATATATATATATATATATATATATACACTATGTTCATTCTTATCTATACAGATGAACAACTTTAAGAAAAAAAAATCCTTCATGAACCAACCACACTAAGAAGCTTAATGGTATCCCAAGACAGCAGGACTTCAATCCAAAACAAAAGTTAAAAATATTTGACAACAATTCTGATGAGGCTGTAATAGAAATTCTTGAAAAATATTTCCACTGTTGTTCAATTAAGATGCTGCTACTCCATTTCCTTTGTTTTTACTTCTTTTAAATTGAATCAGGACAAGATATTTCAGGTGCTGTATCTCATGAATTCAGTCTCTCAGGTCTGAAAGATCAACTCTACCCATTCTGAAATGATGTTTTTGTTTTTTTTAGTGACTGCTATTAACAGCTTCAGTTACCCTAGCTGCATATAATGAACACACATGCAGGATTGATGGATAATAGTAAACAGAAAGAGAAACAAAGCACACACAGAAGCAGTGCTGGTTTCTACAAGAATGATGGAAAAGATCCCCTTTTTGCTTTTAATTTATGTTACATTTTTGTGAACAGTGCCACGAAAAAAAAGCCACACAGGATGAACTGACAAGCCTTCTATTTTACAATGTGGTTGTGCTGCCAAAAGCCAATCAAAATAGCTGCAAAAAGAATCCCAATCAGTTCAGGGATCGCATACATATGATAGGAAGTAGAAGGTGATTAGAAACCCATACGTAATGCAGTACAGTAACATACTTCAGTCAGGGAACTAAGAAGTATCTTACACGAGTGGAACACTGGGAGCAAATATGAAAAATCAAATTCCTGGGAATTTGTGGTTGAAACTGCTCACTGGAACTCCTGAAGTTACCTGGCAGCCTGGGTAGTTACAGGCAGTTAAAACTCAAACGTGGGAACATTGGTTCAAGATGTCCCACAAAGAAAGCCTGTTCACTTCCAGCAGAAAATATTTCTCAGCAGTCTCCCACACAGGAGTGTAGCAAAAAAAAAAAAAAAGGTATTACTAAAGTTACTCTTCTATGAACTTGACAGCAAAATTCTAGACATGTGCATCTCTTGCAGTAGTGTTTAGACAACTAATTCAAACTGGCTGCAACACAGCAGCCTGCACTGAAATGCAGTTTCACTAGAAATGAAAACTGAAACTAAGACAGACAAGTACTATGTCCAAGACGTAATGGAGTGCTCGTTCACCAGGAACCGGTTGGATAAACTGGTGCCATTTACAATACTTGCTTCATCTCATTAACTCCACAGGGGCCGTTTTCCAAAGTGCCTGCAGTATTGCTTGTCAATAGTATACAGACAAAGCAAGCTGGTAATTACGCCTGTGGAAGATACCCCACGTTTAAAATTATCCATCATCAAGATGCTCAACTCTTGCTTCCTGGATTGTTTTGTTCAATGCAGCCACGTCCAACCCTGCAGCCTGGCACAGGTGGCACTGCTGCTGCCTCTTCCCCACACCATCACAGCTGTGGCTCTGTCCCTCTGAGCACTCCTGTCCGGCCCTGGGCACTCACCCACTGCTACAACAACCACACAGCGGTGTGTGACTGGGACTGCCTGGGTGGAACCAGGGAACGGGCACTGCAGTGCTGACTCCTGCTCTCCTGCTCATCTCAGACGCTCAGTGGAAGTGAGACCTGTTACATGTTCCACGTGCTTAAGCATCTTGGAAAATAGCACTGTGCTTAATTTGTAAGGAAATCGTGTCAGTTTCCAAAGCTGACAATTTAAAAAGACACTATATGCAAAAACATGCAGCCACATTCAATGTGTATCAAGGAATGCTTTACAGATAAACTAGTGGAACTGAAAAAAATCTGCCATCTCAAAGATTTTTCTTTAAAAAGCACTCCATTATTAGAGAGAAATATCCCTCACTTCACAATCGTGCCTTATTCACGGCATCACTTTTGGCAGCACGTACATTTGCCAACACCTGTTTTCAAGGATGAAGTACAGGAAGAGCAAAATTTCAGTAGAAATCTCTGGAGAACACCTCGAGAGCTCACTAGGAATTTCAGCCACTGCCACTGACCCAGTCTGGTGCATTAGTATCCCAAAAACAAAAAGGGTCAAAAACAGGGTCAAATATCCCACTAGGTCTACTTTTTTTTTTTTGCTTTGCTTTCATAAAAAATATTTTAAAAGTCCTTACTTTAATATACATTAATTTATATAAATTTAATATACATTATATAAATTTAATATACATTAAATATACTATGTATTTTATATGCGGCCCAAGACAATTCCTTCTTGCTCAGTGAGGCCCAGGGAAGCCTAAAGTTTGGACACCAATGGTTTAATGGGTTAACTTCCAAAAGTGTATACAATTTTATTGTTCTCTGCTAAGGAGCTTGCTATCCAGGCCTCACCAGACTCAAAAATGCTACTGTCTGATGGTTTATATTAAATCTCAAAGTAACTGCTTTCAGAACCTAAATTGCCTTTTAAAACAAATGACAAAAGTATGTTAAAAAGATTAAATCCTTCCTCCCTCATTTATGCATATGCAAAATATGGCAATAATATGCAAGTTTGGGCCCACTATCAAAACAGACCAGTAATGCTACCATGACTCCACCAAATTAAGAGACATAACATTTCTAAGAAAAAAAAAAATCTAAGAAGCATATCTGAAAGTCTAGTTTACACCATTCACACACGCTTTTCAGTAGGTGTACGGGGAGATGCCAACACTGACATTTAAGAGGAGAGGGAAGAAAGTTCTCCCTTCATAGGAATTCCTGAAAACAACATCGTATTAACTTAAGAACCAAAACAGAAGCTAAAATCTGAATTCAACACAGCAACAAAAAGCAAAACCTGAGCTACAAAACTTGTTCCCAGTCCTGGCGAGGGCAACAGACAGCAAAGCTGGCTTTGTGTGTCTGACAGCTGGGGTTAGTATTTTTGAAAGATGACTGCATGTAATGGAAACTCATAACACGATACACAACCTGATTATCTTTTAACAGCTCTTTTCAGAATGAAAGAGAAACACCAAACTAGAAGACAATTTATCCCATAGCACATTTTTGCAATGGTTCATGACATTTTACCTGGGAGATGAAAGACGCCTCCTTTCTGATTCCCTTCTCTTCCTTTCTGCAGATCTACTCCTCAACCTTCTAGCTGGAGAGCGGGTTCGAGAGGGAGATTTACTCTGTTTGGATCGACGATCATTAAAGAGAGGGGACCTGCTTCTTCTTGACTTTTCACGTGGCTTAGGAGACAAGCTTCTTCCTTTTGGGCTTCGGCCCGGTCTTCTGGGGGACCTGTTTTCTTTCCCTGAAGAAGCGTCTTTAGAAGGGGATTTAATTGGCTTTTTATCTTTGTCAGTCTCTGATCGCCTAGATTTTCTATCTTTGGACCGCGATCGTCTATCTTTGGATTTGCTTCTGAGTTCTGCTGGAGATTTGGACTTTCTGCCGCGATCTCGACTTTTGCTTTCATTTACAACTGGAGACTTCCTGCGATCCCTTGATTTACTCTTATCGTCAGCCTTGTTTCTGTCTTCTGGGGGAGATTTAGACTTCCTATTTTTCTCCTGAGATCTTCTTTTAAGCATTGGAGATCTTGATTTCCTTGAAGTCTGATCTTGAGACTTACTTCTTTTACAGGGGCTTTTGGATTTTCTCCTCTCTTTCGACTTGCTTCTGGTTGTTTTCTCTTTGATTCCATCAACCGCTACCTTGCTTTTCTTTTTGTCAGATCTGTGCCTAGTCCTTTCTTTTGATTCACTCTTATTTCCTTTTTTGGAACTAGCTTTATTTTCCACAGGTTCTAATTTCCCCTTAGTGTTTGACTTAGTTGCAGGTCTAGTTCCATTTCGTGCCTTTTCATTAATTTCCCCCTCCTCTTCAGATCCCGACTCATAACCTTGTAATATCAATCCCATACCAGACTGGACTTTGCCTTCCATTAATTCATTTTCAAGTTCAGCTTTCAATAAAGCTCTTTGTTTCTCCAAGTCTTCCAGAGGAGCTAAAAAATCAATTTTAGTTCTTTTAGCTGGTCCATCTTCCTTGTCAGAGGCATCGGCTACCTCTTTCCGTTTATGTTTCTTATGTTTGTGTCTGTGTTTATGTTTTTTGTCCTTATCTTCCTCTGATGAATGTTTATGTTTCTTGTGTTTACTTCGGTGTTTGTGTTTCTTTTTTTTGTGTCGGCTGTGCTTGTTCTGAGGTTGATCTGCTTCTGACACTTCCCCATTTTCTTCATTTGTACTTTTCTCAGATGCGTTAGCATCCTCAGCCCTGCAAAAAGAGAAAACTAGCCATCAGTACCAGCAATTCACGGCAGCCCTTAAACTCAAGTTAGTTTAATAGCCTCTTTTATGACAGAAGCTGACTGGTATTTAATTATCTGCTTTTGGAGAATTAAAAACATACAAGCAATGTAATGAAGTTGTAAGAGCAGGTATAGTTTGTCACCAACAGACAGCTATGACTGCAAAAAGAAATACTAGCTTAGGAGGATGGAGCAAATACACCAACAAAACAAACCACATAGGTTTGTTACTGGTTCAATGTTACTGGTTCAACACTGCCAATATTATACAGCAGTGCTGTGCATTTATACCTCCTGTTAGTCCAGTATCTGTTTTATTTACTGTTCCATTCCTATGCCAAATCCAAGCTATGTCCTCTAAAAGTACTTTCAAAAGACAGAGCGCAGTTTTTCTCCAAAGATCAAAACTTATTTCAGGGGGTGATTCTGACCCCCTAAGTAAACCATCCTGCAGAGTCTCAAGCACAGAGGCTGATTCTCTTAACTATCATTCCTCTCCGTATGTGCATACACACGTTAGACAACACAGAACTGTTCTTATCCTGCATTTATGTATGCGATGCAGGGAACAGTATCAAAGAACAGGATCAATTAAGAACACCTAATTTCAGAAAAGCTTTCCAATAGAATACAGAAGCTTATTAGCTTCCTGAGGAAAAAAAAGTATGTTCTCTTCTGTAAAATGGCATTGGACAGAAACAAAAAACAAACAGAAAATAAGTATAGAACAGGTTATTAAAATAATAATGGTGGTCTCTTTAAAAAAAAAAAAAAGAAAGCTAATTTCAATTAGCTAGTCACAGCAACAAGCACTTTAATTAGACAAGGAGTTCAAAAATTACACAAGTCAGTGCGCACGCTCCACACATTCACTTTTATTGTTTTCCCTAGAAGCTGAAATTGGCTTATCAATAGACATAAACAGCTCTCAGCAAATACCTTCAGAACATCAATTACCAGCTACAGCAAGATGGATATTTGCCTTTTAAAATCTGCTGCCAAATCACATCTTAAGTGCCAGCATCGCCTTTCTGCAAACTCACCCCACCTGCACTAGTTTTGGAACTCGCTAACGCTCTGGTGTTTTAGATACTGCTCTATCCCCAGCCTCATTCATTGAAGGGAAGCTCTTGGGGTGTGATGGTCACAGTGGTGGTGAGATGCACACAGAAATGTAGAGATACCCTCAGAACCCCACTAGGTTCATCCTACAGAGGTCTCTGAAGAATATGACCTGTGATCCATTGGTATAATCATATCAGAATTATTCTTAGCCAACTAAAGGATGCCACCTCACTACAAAGTCAATTTACATTCTCCTCATTAAGGACGGGGTCTTCAAACAGCACAGTTAATGATTATCTCCTATGTGAGTTAATGCAAATTCGTATACTAGAAAACAATCTAGACTTATTGTCAGTGTACTCTGAAATAATTTGCTGAAACTGTTGACACTTCATTGCTCAAAAATATCCTCAGTCCCTTTCCAAGGGAGCAGCCTATTTGAGTTAAAAATATGCTAGCTTCTAACAGAAGTGTTAATGCTGCACGTTTCTTCTTTTACATCTCTACCACTACTGCTGCTTACTCAACCAGAGCACATGGGAAGAAGGGCTTTTTTCTTAACTGCCCCCTCCTGTTACCCGACATCACCACACAACAGACTATGCAAAACAAGACAAACTGCCTCCAGAGGAGTTTGTTTAATGGTATGTTTGGCACAAAAGATGCACAAAAAAAAAAGAAGTAGATTTAAAACTTCCTCAATTTGGATCTGCAATCCCAAGCAATGAGTTAGCAAAAGGGCAGAGAAACGTGGCAAGGAGCACATTAAGGTGACCGTGCATCTTTCAGGACTTCTCAGCTGGCTACAGGGAGCTGTGAGGGTCCCCTGTTGACACATTCATGTTTTTTCAATACATTATAAGAATATTGCAGGTCCATCCGAACTGCTCCAGAGAAGCCTCCTTTTGCCAGCATTAAATCACACAACAGTTTGGGCTGAAGGGACCTTAAAGCCCAGCCAGCCCCCTGCTGTGGGCAGGGCTGCCATCCACCAAATGAGGCTGCCCAAGGAAATGGTTCGGAGCTACTCCACGTGCAGGCACTGATTTATTTCATGTAACACCATCAAAACACAGGCAAACTTTTAATTCGTTTAACAGCTTCAGAGTTGTAATTACATGGAAGAGAAACATTTTAAGAAGGCTTCAGAAGGCGACGAGGCCATGAGGTATCTTTATGCTTCCATAGGAGTTGTGACATCTGTGTCACAGCCTCACTGTCCCTTTTTTTGGGATTCAAGGAGAAGAACTATGGGAAGCCTGTGAAGATTTGCAGAGATTTCACCCATTTCTTCCCTACCTTTGGGCTTTCTATCGCAGTCGTCACTTTATTTCCCTTATTTACGGTTCCCTACAGGGCACTGAGCATATTTATCGGCACGCTCACGTGTTCCACGCGGTTCACACACAGACGAGGAAAAGCAGTTTTCCACTCCTGTGCCTAACGGGTAAAAATCATCCTCAGACAACGGGAGAGAAGGGGAGCACAGACAGCGTTTCACGAGGCCGAGCTATCCGGGCGACGCCGAGGAGCGGCGAGGCGGGCGCCGGGCGGTGGAAGCCCGCGGAAAGCATCGCGCAGCCCCCACCGCCGCCAGCCGCCACTCACGCGGCGGGCCGGAAGGAGGGGCCGCCGGCGACAAATCGCTTCTCGCTTCCAGCAGCGCCGGCACTCTTGGTACCGCGAGAGCCCGCGGCTCGGGGAGTCGGGCTGAGCGCCGAGCGGCGGAGCGGGCCGGGCCCGGCGGGGCGGGAGGCGCACGCGGCCGGAACGCACGCGCCGCTCCGGGCGCCGCTTCCCCTCCCCCGCCCCGAAGGCCATCCGCCGAGCGGCCTCAACCTCCTCCCCGCGGCGGGCCGGGCCGCGAGCAGCTCCCGGCGACCGCGTTCGCACCCTTCTCCGCGGAGCGGCCGCCCGCCGCCCTTTCCCTCCTCGTTCCCCCCGCCGTCCCCGGCCCGGCCGCCCCGCCGCCGGCCGCCCTTCCCCGCGCCGGGGCCGCTCGCCGCCTCCTCCCGCCCCGGAGCGCCGTGTCGAGCGGCCGCCCCGCCTGCCCGCCCGTCCCACCCGTCCCTTACTCGGGCGCTCGCTGTTCGGGCTCCGCCGCGGCGGCCATTTTGAACTTCCAAACTCCTTCGCTGCCGCTGGGGAGACGCGGGGCCGCGGCGCACGCGCAGCCGGGCTGCCGGGAGGGGTTGGGGACGGCGGGGTGGCGGCCGCCGGAAGCGAACCCTGCGTGCGGGGCGGGCTGCGAACCGCCGGCACCGCCCTCAGCCTCGGGGCGCGCGGGCGGGAGCGTGGCGGCTGTGGTGCTGCTGATCCGTCGGCTGTGGCTAAGACGGCCCGGAGAGGACTCTCGTCGTTCTTCTGCTGGTTTGCCCACCGGCACCGCCTGAAGATGAATGAATTTAACTGCGAACGTGCTGTGCTCCTCCGGTGAAGCCGAGGAAGTGAAACCTCCGGGCGCTACCTCGCTGTGTCTCCGGGCTCCGAACGCACGTTGCTGGCCCGGTGCAAGCGCTGCTTGTTCCAGCATCAGAAGCAAGATCACAGCACGCCTGGCTCCACATTCAAGGTCCGGCTGGATGGGGCTCTGAGCAATCTGATGTGTTGTAGGGGTTCCTGTTCATTGTGGGGGAGTTGGACTGGATGACCTGCAAGGATCCCTTCCAACTCATGGTTCTATGGTTCTGAGTCAAGTGTCAGTCAGTCCTAGAATGGACCAAGATGGAAGTGTGTCATACAGCACAAGAGATGAAGTTGACCAAGAAAATAAAGAAAACCCTGCAAAAACATCTTTTTCAATGCCACTGTTGATGTCAGATGCTGTGATATGAGCTTGGGGAGAGTGCAGTATTTCACCTGGCCCTTGCTCTTGTGAAGTCGTGAACATCTTGTTCAGAGAAGAAACAGATCGGTTTCAGCTTGAGGAGCCCCAGCCTGCAGTTTCTGCTTCTCTTTCAAGTTCTGTAGGCTCTGGCAAAAGAACAAAAGTGAAGAAGCAGCCCAGGCTATTGCACCTTTAAGCTTGTATTGTGTTTCCAGTGTTAGAACTCAGACTATGGTTTGGATCCTAAAGCTAAACTAAAGGCTGAAAATCGCAAAAATTAGAAGAAAGCTAAATGTAATGATAGGTGGTTAGCTCATCCTATGAAAGATGTCTGCACCTTAAAGCCGGGCTCTAAAAGAGCACAGTGTTCCTCTGGTTATATTTACAGCGTGGAGCTGAAGTCAAAAAATGTTCAGAAAATCCAGGAAAAGTGCCTTGATGTGGATTGAAGTTGTCACGTGACTCAGTGGGTCCTAATGGAAAATCTGTTGAACTTGCTCAAGCAGATACAAGTAACTTAGCAGGGCTTCCTCCATGGAGGTGTTTTCTGTCATCAAGTGCCTGGGGAATGGCACAAGAATTCTTCCAGGGGAAACTTTATCTCTTTTGGTGCAAGAAGTATTCATCACCACTTGAAAATGAGCAGGTGAGAAATCTCCATGTAGCTTGCCATTAATGGGATCCATCCAAATGTCTCCACTTTGATTTTGCCAGTAAGTCAAATATATTTTGTATTGTAGTACACCCGCCTCAGCTATATACTTGTCACTGCATGTAACTTTTCATGGTCAAGGGTAATTAGTAGAGACTTTCAGCATTGTATATGCTATTGTAAGAAGCTACAGCAAACCAACTGTTTGAAAAAGAAGACCTAAGAATTACAAATATGTTGTACAACTTCACTTTTTGGTGCCGTTCTTCCATTTTGCAAAATCTTAGCTCATTTTATAGTGTGGATTCTGAGTAGTTGATCATATTCCAGTAATTTCAAAATTGTTTCTAAGGGTCAGCAGCTTTACTATAGTTAACAAGAAACATATGGACATGTTACTGAGGAATGTGGCACATGAGCATGGTGGGGATGGCTTGATAGTTGAACTAGCTGATCTTAGAGGTTTTTTCCAACCTTAACGATTCTATGAAGATTACTGTCTTGTTTGTTGGTTTTTTTTTTTTATCTCTTAAGATATGTGAAGTAGCTAATAGCTAAATATTATCTCTGTTCATAAGGGTAAGACTGACAAAGTAACTTAATCTGTATTTCCTGAGTCAGAAAAGGACAAAATTCCAGTGTTCCAGGGCTGATCTTCTTTACGTTGACTGCAGGTGCTGCCTTTGTACTAAGTGATTAAGGAGGCAGGGAATTACTTTTTTTTGTTGTTGTTTTTTGCTTACCAAAGCAAGCTATTGGCAAACAAGCTTGGGAAGAAGCTCTCTTTGGATAGGCAGCTCATCCCACTATAGCTTTATCTCTTTCCCCAGTTTCTGAGAAACTACTGCTCCAATCTGATTTGGCAATTGCTACATTCCCAGAAATAGGCATGGTTGTTCAGTACGTTGATTGTAGACAAATGGAAAGAGGTGTTTCTGTTACTAACTGCAGATGTGTAGGGGAACTGTTGTATCACAGCTTGAACTGGTGATTGAGCACCTGGTGAAAGAGTGTGGCTGACCTAGGGAATACGGGCAAATTGTTTGCATCTGTGCTCCCCATGTGCACCCACCAGAAGGGATGGAGCTACCCTGGGCTCTTACAAAGGACAGCCACTGAAAGGAGAGCATCTCTTGGGCTTAGGTTCCTTCTTTAGAAGGAGTGCTGAATAGCCAGAGATACCTTTTGCCAATTAGTTGAGTTTGATTTTTTTATTCTGTGTATGACTGCTGGCCTATCCATGAATTCTTTACCTGGTATTGTTAAGAACCTGTGAAAAACTATTTTGCTTTTCAGTGAGCAGAAAATGGTATTTGCCCATGCAAAACCATGAGCTTAGTGCTTGCCTTGAAGTTGCCAGTTAATCTTTTGAAAAAGCTGCTTACAGAGGTTACTGAATGTTTTTCTGCTTATGTGGTTGGAGTTACAGATGATACGCAGTGACTGTTATGGCTAATAGAGACCATAGAATCATCAAGGCTGGAAAAGACCACTAAGATCATCTAGTGCCCACTAACCCATATTCCTTAGTGTTACATCTATGTGTTTCTTAAGCACTTCCAGGGATAGTGATTCCACCACCTCCCTGGGCAGCCTGCCAGAACCTTTTTAGATTTTTCCTAATATACCTAATATATTGAGCCTCCCTTGGCTCAAATTAAGGTCATTACCTCTTGTTCTTTCACTAGTTAACTGAGAGGAGAGGCCAACTGCCTGAAATTCCTGCCACCTGGGTTGAGCTGTTGGTTCAGTTCTAATTGCCTCAGTAAGGTCTATAGGATGAGGTGATGGATTACAGGAGTGCTTTGGAAATGAGCAGTAGTCAGATAAGAAAACAGTCAGTGTTAACTGCTGGTATGTGGAGTTCCTGTGATTGTGGCGAGGCCAGACTTTGCATCTGTGTTGTGGTATTGGTTTTAAGGACTTTAGATTGTGTTCTGCTGTCCAGGTTTGAAGTCTACTTGTTTACCTTTGGGATAGATGGGTTTTTCCTGAAATATAACTCTTCAGTTATTGGCTAGAGATAGACTTTCTATAGAAAGCAGTAGCAGAATTTTTGAAGGGAAAGTAACTAAAAAATAAAGTCACTTACAGAGCTGGAAGCAGAGAGTGTTTTTCTTCTTTCACAGCTGCAGTCTCTCCACTTATTTGCATGTAACTGAAAGTAGAGAGCATTGCTGCAGTTCACGCTAACTAAAAATGCAAAGAGAGATCTGAAGTTGTGACGGAGCTCCTGCTACTTATGTAACACAATTTCAAACCAGATGATTATTATGTTGAAGAGACTTACAAGTACCTATCCAAGCAGTATTTCCTGAAGTGAAAGGAGATCTGTTTTGTACTGACAATTTCAATTCCCTACTTAATAGTTTAATTTCCTTCCTGTCCCTTCCTTTCCTTTTTTTGGAAGATCACAATCCACCTTTCTTGCTTCCGTAGTGAGAGGCCATTCTGGGACTGTTTTCTGAAATGTTTGTTTTACAGTTTCTGTCACATTCAAGGGGCAATGAATTTTGAAGATAACTGTTCACTGTTAACACATGCAGAAAGTTTTCCTAATTTTCAGCTTTCTAGCTGAAGTAATGGTTAAAATTGCATAGGTTGTTGTATGGGAACTGCTGAGTCACGGCCTGAACCTCTGATTGATCACCTGAGGTGAGCCATGAGTCAGCCAGAGGAGCACAGGTGAAGGCAATTCAGCTGTGCTGCCGGAAGGGGGGGAGCCAGGCTGCAGCCCTCCTGGACCTATTTAAGAGCTGGCTACCAGAGGGGAAGGATCTCTGCTGGAGATCCCCTCTCTTGGTGTTTTGTGGTGAGCCCAGCCAAAGGGTAAGCTTTTCCACCTATTCTCTTTTGTGATCATTGTCTACTTTGCCTAACTCTCTTGATTGTATTGTGATTATAACATCTTGATATCTATTGATTATACAATTATATTGTGATTATAACATCTTGATATCTATTGATTATACAGTTGTATAGTGACAGTTTACCATCTCTATCAGGAATAGAGTCAAAAGAACTGATAGACTAATTGTGTTGCTTGTTATCTTTTTATTCTTTAGAACTTACGAGACAAACTAGAAGCTGCACCAGATTGGAATGATTTTATATTAAAACCTTTACAGAAAAGGGTTAGTGGTTTTGATTACATTTACAATAAAGCAGTTGTTAATGCGAAACCTACAGCCTCCAGAGAGTGCTTTCTCCAGACTAAGTTTGGACTGTCAGAAAATGTGCTTAGAAGGTATCTAAAGCATATTGCATCCCGCCACAAAAGTCCTTTGATACTCGCCTATTTTGCTTGTTTCTTAAGTATTTCTTCTTCTAGTGTTTTTCATGTGCTCCATAATTTGATGCGCTCCACATCAAAATAACTGCTACAGCTATATATTTTGTGAACACACTTTTTTGTGTTCTACTAATTTGTGGTTAAGATTTGAGAACTGCTTGCTATCCTTTGTTGTTGTTGCCTGTTTGATGAAGGGGAGAAGGAAGAAACTGAGCATGTTCAGTGCTGAGCTCTCTTTGCTTTTGTCACCAAATTGTGTCTTCATGATCAGGAGCTATGCTTTCTTCTGAAGTACTATCTATCTGAACTGAATTTGGCCTCATAGGGCTCGAAAAAAGAGTAACCTACAAAGCACTTTATAACTGTATGAAGTTTAACTGATAAATAACAATGTAATAAATAACAATAACTAATAATCTGCTCCAGCTGGATCATATAAGTCTATAGGGCCCAATGGGATTCATCCCAGGGCACTCCGGTTTCTGTCTGATGTCATTGTAAGACCTCTATTTTCAATTTATTTTCAGTGGTCTTGGGAATCTGAAGTAGTTCCCACCCGACTGGAAGCTGGCAAATATTGTCCCAGTTTTCACAAAAGGCAAGAAATAAGACCTTGATAATTACAGGCCTTGTCAGTCTCATTTCAGTGCCTGGCACAAATGATGGAGATTATTCTGGGAGTTAGTGGAAAAACACCTGAAAGCAGTCATTGGGCAGAGCGAGCGTGGATTAACCAGGGGGAAGAAAGAACTCTTTAATCAACTTTGAGCAGGTTGCCCAGCTGGCTGACCAGGGGAGGTCATTGATGTAATGTTTTTGGATTCCAGTGAAACTTTGGATACTAGACTTAATGATCTCTTCCAACCTGGTATGTGCTATGACTCTAAACTTCTTTGTTTCTTAAGGTAAAACAGCTGTTTAGAAACAAAATGAAGACAGTACAGTGACGTACAGGGAATGGATATTTCACGTTGTGTGCATCTTTGTCTTTTCGTACTTCGTGTGTTGGTAAGAGTTTCTGATTGGCTCAGTTTCACCATTTTTAGAATATATCCTTTTTAACAGTTCATAATCACTTGATTAGATAATTAGCTGTCTGTTAGTTTAAAAAGATTCTTTTTATTATTTTTTTTGAGTTAGTAGCAGCAAATTTCTCTTCAGTCATCAGTGTTTCATCTTATTCTATGAGAACTTTCCATCTGCAGCAGGTAAAGATTCTTCTTTCATATGATGAAGGCTCCGTGTTATCTGAAAATTTCACTGCTTTTTGTTAATGAACACAATCCTTCAATTGTGGGGAGAGAATATTGTAATGCTTAATATGTCCAGTCGAGAGGGTGCTTCAGGTATGAAGCTTTTCTGTCTGGAATGTCAGTCAGAATTCTGATACTTTGAGTGAAGGCCAGTTGTGCTCCACCTAACAAATTCAGATCATTCTGACAAAGAGCTTGGTCTCTTTCTGATTAGTCTTGAACCTTCAATGATGTGCATATTGCAGTTCATACTTCTGGTAGCTCCAGTTCCTTATAATTCAACCTGCAGTTTCCTTGACTTGTGGTGTTTAGAATGTTGTTGTTTGGAGTGACTTGACTGTGCTTCTCTGACTTCTACCAGATGTTTTTATTTAATGAGATTAACTAAAGCAGGGTGAATCTGACAAGAAAATATATAATATTTGATAGGCTGCTTTCCATTTCATCTAGTTCCATTCAAATATGGCTAACTTAAAGATTTCTTAAGAGCAACTTTCTAAGCACTCCCTCTTGTTT